CCCTTTCTGGGGTTATGGAACCCCAGGAGGGGATTGGGCAATAAAGATAGAGCGAGTCAAGGACAGCAGGTCCTGACAGGTAGACAGGTGCTGCTGGTGGGACCTGCTGATCTCTGGGGCTGTCAGTAGGGGGCCTGGGGCCCTAGCTGGATGCCCAGAGAAGTAAGGCACTGGTGGGGGTGGGGAGGGTGCTGGCGCAAGAACTTATCTCAGAAGCATCCACCTGCCAGCTCTGACTGCGGGGAGGGTTGCCTGGCCCCTCCACCAGGTGTGGTTGAGCCCTGCCTTCTACCCATTCGGGGTCCCTCCACTGATGGGACAATGGGTGCCTGTTCTGTGTTCACCAGCTCCTCAGTCTCTTACTGTAAGAATGGGGTAGGGGCTCAGGAGCTGGCCCTGGAACACCTGTCCCCGCCCTGAGGAATGACCGAGTTGTTTAGCTGACACAGCCTGATCTGTTCCCTCTCTCTGCTGCCGATCTGGGCTCCTAGAAAGTCTCCACACCCCGGGCTCCATCAGGTTCCAGGGCCCTGGACTAGGTCTCTGAGCCCCTGGCCTCCCTCGGGGAAGGGACAACTTCCTGCCCTCCTGACTGAGACAGGTGGGCAAGCAGAGGGGACACTTTTGGCACCGGGAGCACAGACCCCCCCCAGTGGCCCCTGGCATGGACTGCTAATTACCCACTGGGCATTGCCCATGCAACACTGCATGGCCACAGGCCCACGTGTGGCCACTTTCCTGACACCCTTCCATGGCTGCACACACCCACCCAACTATGACACTCACGGCAGAGGGCTACCCGCAAGCTCTCACATGTGCTCGACACAGAGGCACAGTGGTAGGCACACACAATCATCTTGGTGTGGAAAACACACAGCCACTTGCACGCACACGAACACACACATCCTCACTTGACAAATCCAGTGGTCAAAACGACCCAAACTCCTTGGTCTTCCCCAACACTACTAACACCATGCCTGATACAGAAGTCCACACTCAATAAATATTCATTGAATGCCTCTTAAAATTACTCCTTTGAGGCATGCCCAGGACATCTGCATAGCCCTTTCAACCCTCACTGTCAGGCACACGTTCACATCCAGTGTTCTCCTTGTGGACACACTGTCCCACAAACACAGAGTAATTAAGTTACCACACATACCCCTAAGCTACAGAACAACCCCTGGCCCAGGAGTCCCTGGAGGCGGGGGAGGGAGCTGTGTGAGATCCAAACGGGCCTTCCCCCGGGGCCAAACCCTTCCTTTTCTCCTCCCCCTGGCCCAGCCTCAGTCCCAGCTGCTCCTCTTCTAATTGGAGGCCCTTCTCTATTCTACAAGCGAGGGCGCTGGGGGTGGAGGGATTTGTCAGGTAGCTTCAGGACTGGAGAGAAGATTTTGCAACTCACCTACGTGTGTGCAAAGCCCTTCTGCAAGGGAAGAGCCAAATTCAGGGAGGAGAAAGCAACTGGAATGAGTAGAGTCAGAAAAACAGTACTGGAGTCCATCTCTGCTCCCTGCCCACTTGCAGGGCCCCCATTCTCCCACCTGAAAAAGTGAAGGTAGCAAAAACTACATGAGGGGGGTCTTGGGGGCTGGAAGGAAAGAGCGTTACTGGCACTGAAGGCTCCACAAATGTGTCAGATGCCTTACAAGTCCTGCTTTCCTGCCTCCCTTCTGTTTCCTAACATGGCAACTCTGCAAGGCATGGTGGAAACACAGAAGCTGCTCCGAGTCTGCCTGTGACTCTCCGCCCTTCACAAAAGCTTCCAACCTGCGGGACTGGACTCAGGTAGCACTGCTTCCGGTAGGAGGGGTGGGGCCAGAGCCCAGCAAATCCTGACCCCCTCTGGTCTCAGCTTTCTGAGCAAGTTGTGCCTCTGAACAGCTATGTCATTGTAAGACAAAGGCAGCCAAGGTCAAGAGGACTCACAGAACCCCATCACCTCAGAACTGATTGGGGTAGAAGCTGACTCCACTGAGCAGGAGTGACGGGAGGGAGGAAGTAAGGAAGTCGGGCAGGTTGAAGGCAGAGCACCGTCAGGCTGTCCTTCCCCGGGTTGCTGGATTTTGATGAAAAGAGCTTGACAATCTCGGTGGGCCTCCAGGTAGCTGGGACCTCTGCCATCCTTAGACTGGGGTCACCAGGACAAAGTCTCCTCCTTGGTACCCTGGACAGCGGGTGCCAGATCTGAGGGGTTCAAGAGGTGGGTCAGGCAGGTGCCAAAAGGGTTAGGAGAGGCTAGGTCGGAAAGTCATAGGGAGAGTGGCAAAGAGAAGCCATGAGGCTAACCCAGGAAGGCAGCAGGCAGAGCTGTGGTTAGACAGAAAGGAGCAGGGCCAGTGGGCCCTGGCCTAAAAGGAAGCTGCATCACCCCCTCGTTTTCAGCCTTGTATGGGGAAAACCGTGTAGGTTTTGGGATGCCAGACTAATCCTCCCTTTGGGACTTTAGTCAAGTTTATTCGCCTCATGGAATCTCAATTTTCCTTTTTTCTTTTTTTAATGAAATCTAATTCATAGGTCACAAGATTCAACCCTTAAAATGTACAGTTCAGTTGTGTGCAGCATATTCACAAAGTTATGTAACCATCACCACTATAAGGTGCCAGGATATCTTCATCACTCCAAAAAGAAACTTTGTACCCATTAGAAGTCATTTCTAAATCCACCCTTCCTCCACTCCTGGCTACCACTAATCTGCTTTCTGTCCCCATGCATTTGTCTCTTTTGTACATTTCACATAAATGGAATCGTGCAACGTGTGGCCTTCTGTGCCTGGCTTTTTTCACTTAACCTAATATTTCCTAGGTCTATCTACGTTGTAGTGTGAGCAGCACTTCCTTTCCATTCCTTTTTTATTGCTGAGTAATATTCCATTGCATAGATATACCACATAGTGTTTATCCATTCATCAGTTGATGGACATTTGAATTGTCTCCACTTTGGGTTAGCATCAATAATACTGCCATGGACATTCATTTCACTTGCTGAATAATAAAATACTGAGACATTTCTTTTAACTTCTCAGGGTTGTTGGGGTTCTTAAATGAGATGTGAGGTATGGCTCTTGTAGCTTCTCAGTAAATGTTTATGTTTATTTCTGCTTTAGTTCACCCAAGAGCAGTGACAGGAAAGAGATGCAGGCTCCAACTACTTGCAAAGTTATGGAACCTCCTGGGTGGATGTGTAAAACTTGCCTTGGGTGGGCAGGAGGGGGGATCAGCAAGGGAGTGGACCGCTCATCTCTGCTTAGCGGTTGCCAACAACTTCCAAGCTCACATCTGGTGTTGCCTTGGGAGGCACTGGTCGGCCTGGCTGGAGCTCAGTTAAGGTTTCCCCACTATGGACGAGCTTTCAACCAGTAGCCAGGTTTCCAGGCTAGCACATAACAGCCAGTTACATGCAGCCCCTGCATCTAGATTATACCAACTGTAGCCTCTTAGAAATGTGGCTTCCCCCTTGGGGGCCGGCACTGTGGTACAGTGGGTAGATGCCCTGGCCTGAAGTGCCGACATCCCATGTGGGCGCCGGTTCTGGTTCCGGCTGCTCCTCTTCCAATCCGGCTCTCTGCTATGGCCTGGGAAAGCAGTAGAAGATGGCCCAAGTCCTTGGGCCCCTGCACCCGCGTAGGAGACCCGGAAGAGGCTCCTGGCTCCTGGCTTCAGATCAGCGCAGCTCTGGCTGTTGTGGCCATTTGGGGAGTGAACCATCGGATGGAAGACCTCTCTCTCTGCCTCTCCTCTCTCTGTGTAACTCTGACTTTCAAATAAATAAATAAATCTTAAAAAAAAAAAAAAAAGAAATGTGGCTTCCCTCACCTATGAAGTGGGCTGGGATTCACCGCAGAGGGTCGGGCCGCAATGCCCAGCGCCCATACTCTTCTTGGCAGACTTAGACTCCTCCCGCTTACTGAATCCTTTGTCTGACCCTCTCTACAGAACAGTGAGGCCCAGGAGGCCAGGAACTTTTCTGAGCCACACTGCTGGGTCTCCAGTGCCCCGCACAGTGCCTGATATGCAGGAAGGACCCCCAAACAAACCCACGATGAGCATATGTTGTTGGCTGGGCCAGTATTTCGCAGCTAGGGACAGAAAATAAGCCACTTCCTGCCTCCAAGGGGATCTCCAAAACGGAGGTGGCAGACCCAAGGAAAGCAGCACATAGATCCCATGGAGATCACCAGGAACCCCCCCCCCCCCCTCGCATCCCAGCATCTGGCCTGGTAGGGAGGTGGCAGCTGAGGCCGAGCCCCTGTGCTGTAACCTGTGCCTTTCCCAGAGAGCCTCCCTAGGAGGGAGAAGGGCAGGGGAGGAAGCAGAGAAAGGGAGTTTCCTCCTTCTCTCTTGGGCTCTCAGCCAGGCCGCCATAGGCAGAACTTTGAAAAGGCCTAAATTTGTCCTGGACATACTTCCCTCGCTCTGGTCCCCCTCCCAAGATTCCAAAAGCAAGAGAGACACTCCTTCCCTCAGCACAGTCCAAATGCTTCAGGCCTGGAGGAGCCCACCCTGGGCCTAGTGGCGAGGTGGCGAGCAATCTGGTCGCGTTCACTCAAGCACTGTGACTTGCTTCTCCAAGCATCTATTTATTTAAAAGGGGCCCCCGACCCACTCCATCTGCGCCTGCCTTTCAGGAAGTCGGCCCTTCCTCAGTTTCTCTCCGGAGGCTGGAGGCTGCGTTGGGGTGGTCATTGACTTTGTAACAACACACAGCCAGTCGTTCCGGGGCCTGTGTTTCAAAGGACAAGCCTGGACTCACCGTCCTGCCTCGGGGCCTGGGCTCCATACCTGGGGAGCAGACAGTCTTCTACTTCTTAACAAGCCGGACTTGAAATTGAGAGTAAATCGCCTGGTTGAGTGACAGGTGTTTCCTCGTCAGCCCTGGGGGAGATTTTCCAGTTGGGCAGGGACACCCTTTCCCCAGGGGCCGGGTGGGCTGGCCTCCTTTGGTCCAGTTCAAACTAAGGGGCGGCTCCTGCCAGGTGGGGGGCGGCAGAGAGCTCTGTCTTCCCCCTCCTAGAGTCCCTCGGTCGGTAGGTCTCCAGGAATGGCCGCTTCCTGTTCCTTTCCTTTCGCCTTAGAAGCCTCTCAAGATTTCCTCAGCTCTCTCTTCGCGAACTACTCCGGAGCCTTGGTCTCCGTCCCTCCGTCTCTGGCTCCGGCATCTGTCTCGGCTCCTGGCCTCCCTCTCCCCCTCCCCCCTCCCCCGCGCTGTCATTCACCCCGCTCCTCTCTGCGCACAGCCAATGGAGAGACCCGGCCGAAACGGCGAGGCTCGCTCGCACCGGGCTTTTTCGCCCGGTGATTGATGTCCCAGAGTCAACAGCGAGCGAGCAGCCGGAGAGGGGAAGGAGAAGCCGGAGAGGGAAAGAATACGGCGCCCCCCTCTCTCCCTCCCCTCCCCCTACTTTAGTCCTTCTGCGCACTTCGCCTCCGAGTCTCGGCGCAGCCAGGAGCCGCTGTCGCCTCGAGACCCGCTCGGTGCCCCCCAGAACCCAGCACAGCGAGCGCCGCTGCCCGGGCCCCCCGTGGGGCCAGGGCCCCGGCCGGGCCGGCATGGAGCACCTGGGTCCGCACCACCTCCACCCGGGCCATGCGGAGCCCATCAGCTTCGGCATCGACCAGATCCTCAATAGCCCGGACCAGGGCGGCTGCATGGGGCCCGCCTCTCGCCTCCAGGACGGAGAATACGGCCTTGGCTGTTTGGTCGGAGGCGCCTACACTTACGGCGGCGGGGGCGCCTCGGGTGGAGCAGGGGCCGGGGGCGCGGGGGCCTACGGCGCGGGCGGCCCGGGCGGCTCCGGCGGCCCAGCGGGCGGCGGAGGCGCCTGCAGCATGGGCCCTCTGGCCGGCTCCTACAACGTGAACATGGCCTTGGCGGGCGGCCCCGGTCCCGGCGGAGGCGGCGGCGGCGGCGGCGGAGGTGGCAGCGGCGGCGGCGGGGCGCTGAGCGCCGCGGGAGTGATCCGAGTGCCTGCTCACAGGCCGCTAGCGGGAGCCGTGGCCCACCCCCAGCCCCTGGCCACCGGTTTGCCCACCGTGCCCTCTGTGCCTGCTGTGCCGGGCGTCAACAACCTCACCGGCCTCACCTTCCCATGGATGGAGAGTAACCGCAGATACACAAAGGACAGGTTCACAGGTGAGTCCGGCCCGTGCGTGCTGCGCCTGGCCGCGGCCCCGGCTCTTCGCTGTCCTCGGGTCGATGGTTCCTGGCAACCCGCTCTGTGCGCGCGGAGCCGCCCCGCACCCTTCCGCCTCGCTGCCCACCTGGTTCTATGATCCCAGAAGGGCTGTGCTAGAAGAGGTCTCCCAGACTGCTCCCCCCACCCCACCCCGCGCTCCCGCAGGACCCCCGCTAGGAGCAGCTCCTCTCCCTTGTCCCCTCTCCCCTCTGGGGGTCCTTGGCCCAGTCAGGCAGAGGGACTCAGCACTACCTTCGGCCAGCATTTGGGGCTTCAGAATCAGTCTCCTGTGAACAAACTGTTTCTTCAGTCCAGGGCTGCCTAGAATCAAACATAGGAATAGAGCAGGTTCCTGGTTCCCGTCCCCTACACACACACACTTAAACACACACACACACACACACACACACACTCCTCACGCTCGGAGCTCCGGCCGGCCCCGGAGTGCTGCCGAGCCCGCGTACAGCGACAGCAGAGCTTGGCGGGCCCTTCCTCCGGGACTGCCAGCTTCGTCTGGCTGGGTGGCAGCGCAGGGCTAAGTCGCCGGGACAGCTCCTTCCCCATTTTCCTTCTGTCCCCACTGGGAGTCCCCCCACACCGCGGGGCCGGCCCTATTATCTCTGAGGTGAATGATGCACCCGCCCGGGCCATGGACTCCCGGGACCATTACGCACTAGGCGGCGGCTGCCGGCGGCCGCGCTCACCGCTCCACGCCGGCTCCCTCCGCTGCCGCTTCCGCTCTTGACACCTTGCTCTCGCCCCTGCGCAGCCCCCTTCCCCTTCTCGCTCCCTGCGCTGTGACCCTTAGTGTTCCTTAATCCTCCCACCTGGCCCAGGCCCCCAGAAAGCTGCTTGAGTTGAGCCTGAATTTCTCCAGCCTTGCCTTAGAAGAGGTAAGAGGCACAGGCCCTGCCGGCGGCCGCTGGGATTCCCAGGAGGCCCAGGCTCCAGGGCCCAACAGAAGAGGGGGTGGAGCAGACAGGCGAGGAGGGAGAAGCATGGAGCCAGACACCGGGCTGAGTGACCACCCCCCCCCCCAAGCGTCTCCCCCAGGCCTCTGCTCCTATTCCAGGCAGCACAGACTGAGAGACTGCTTGCTGCTTGCTCCTGGAGCTCCTGTCGGGTGGGGGGTAGGGGTCCTGAGGCAGCAGGCACCGCAGCTGGTGGGTGATGGGTCTGCAGGAAGGCCCTTGGGCAAGGAGCCCCAGTGCTCCTCCTCAGGCCATTTCAGGCCTGGGGAGGCAAGGCTGTGCCGAGCCTTGGTCCCCAGTCTGCGGGGAGTTGCAGTTTCCCTTGGGGAGCCACAGCGGGCCCTGATCCTGGTTCATACATGAAGGAGGTCCTGGGGCAGTAGCCCATTGGCCTGTGTGCTCGTGCGGGTGTGTGCTGGCCTGTTGGTGTGCGTGCCTGTTGTGTCCGCTTGTGCTGCGGTGGCATGGACGCTCAGGTCAGGACCGAGTCATGGGCCTCCACTAAGCTGGGCCTCACAGTTGGGCCCTTGCTCTGAGCCCGGAGGTCTGGGGCTGCCTGGAGCAGCGACCTTTAGCTCCTTAGATTAACCGGGTTGGGGAGAAGGCAAGGAGGTGTGGGGCTCCCAAGAGCCCGGGGCTAGGGAGGCCTCGGTGGTGGTGGTGGTGGCGGTGGTGGTGGCGGTGGCGTTGGCCTGGCGGGCGGGAGGGAGCCAGTTCCCGCCCGGGGCTCAGTGCTGAGGACTGCCGGGAGGACCGTGGCTCCTCACGTAGGGTCCTGCTGCGTGCTCGCTGCTCGCGGGGTGTTGGGCCTGGGACGCCTCCTGACGCTCTGCCGCTTGCCTCTGCCGTCTGTCTGTCTCCCGCTCCAGTGGCCCTCTCACCCTTCACTGTAACACGCCGTATAGGTCACCCCTACCAGAATCGGACGCCCCCCAAGAAGAAGAAGCCCCGCACATCCTTCACGCGCCTGCAGATCTGCGAGCTGGAGAAGCGCTTCCACCGCCAGAAGTACCTGGCCTCCGCCGAGCGTGCCGCCCTGGCCAAGGCGCTCAAAATGACCGACGCACAGGTCAAAACTTGGTTTCAGAACCGGAGGACAAAGTGGAGGTGAGCACGCAGGGCATCCCAGCCGCGGGCGGTGCAGTCTCCTAGCAGCTCAAACCCCGCCACCAGCGTCAGACTGGTTCTGGGGTGCGGGCTTCTGCTGGTAACCTCACTGGGGCTGTGGAGCCTCAGCTGTGTTTTCTGGGTGGCTTCAAGGCTTTCTGGACCGCGCTCTATGCCCGCATGAACACGGCCAGTCTCCTTGGCGCCTGGGCAGACACGCTAGAACGGGGTTAGGAAACTATGTATGTGCGAGGCGGGCTTCCGGGCTCAGCGGATCCTCAGGGCTTTTTGTTGGTGCAAACTGTTGCTTATGCAAAGGGGGACCTCCTCTGCCCGAGACTGGAGGCAGAACTACCCACACATTGTTTCTGCACTCCAGCCAGACTCCTGGCCATGTCTGGGGCCCCAGACCGCGGGCTGGGCCCGGCTGACTGCCTGGTCCCCAGACGCACGGCCTCTGTGCAGTGGGTCCCGCCCTGGAAGGGGAAAATCAATCGGCGCCGGCTGTGGCGGGGTTTTGCAGGTCCCACTGCAAGGGGGATCAATTAGGAGCAGATGGGTGTGTGTGAGAAAGAGAGACATTTTCCCTCCTGCTGTCACACACGGACAGGCGCACACTACCCACGTTGTTTCCCATGCACATGCGTGGAGCTCTGGTTTTCCCTCTCCTGTCTACACCCCCCCCCCCACACACACGGACACTCTCTCTCCAGCTGCACCTCCCGCACCTCTGCACCCTCCCGTCCATCTGGCCTGATTTCCCTGCACACTGGCTGCCCTGCCGGGAGTTTCTCGCTAGCTCAAGCCCTGGGTGGGGGAGCTTGAGAGAGTCTGGATGAGGTTGGCGGCGCCGCGCCGGGCGGGCCTGGGGCGGGAGGAAGGAATTGGAGTTTCCTCTTTTTCTGAATGAAGGCGAGGAATCTGCCCGGGATTCCGCCTTAGGGGCCACAAAGGAAGCCCTGGCCCCAGCCGGCTCCCCACCAACATTCCTGCAGCTGGGGAAGGGGTAGGAGACAAGGCTGCAAACCTCTGGAAGCTGGGGGGGAGCAGGGGCTAGGGGGTGGGGGGCCCCAGCCTTTCCAGAGCCTGCTGTGGGCAGGCCCCCTAGGGAGTGGGGTGGGGGGGCCCAGGAAGACCCAGGCCTGCAGAGAGAAACCAAAAGACAAGGGAGGAGGACAAAAGTAGACACCCCCGTTCCAGGGGGGTAAGGATCGAGAGAATTCGTTTGTAAGCAAGAAAGCAATGGCTGGCTGAAACCGGTTGCCAGTTTTGTTTTCAAGAATTCCCTGATTTCAGAGGGAACCAGGGGGGGTTTAGGGAGGAGGGAAAACAAGGGTGAGACACAAAGGGAGGAAACATTTAGGCAGTTGGAATAGCAGAGAGGGGAAGAGGAGACAGCGTGGATACACAGAAAAGTCAAGACGGGCGGCTCGGAGGATGCCCTCCGGGCTTCGCGCGGCTTCATCGATCGCCTACAAATTGCTTCTGGAGGCCCCGGGGACTCCCATTAGGTCTGTCCACCTTAGAGACAGACGTTTGATCTCGGTTGACAGGGGTGGAGGGGCGGCATTAAATGGAGTGAGTCATCGCCTCCCCGGGCCGCCACGGAGGAAGCCTGCCAGTCCGGCGGGAGCTCGGTGCGGGTGGCGGGAGGCCAGGGAGAGGCCCGCGGGCTGAAGGGAGAGGAGTCCGGTAGGGCAGATCGCGTGGTGTCCGTGGCCCTCGCCTCTCTGCCTTGTGCTCGCGGGGTGGGTGAGGCCCTTTGTACTTGGGTCCCGCTTGGTCTCCCAAGGGGCGCGGACGAGGCGAGGTGCCAGCCTACCGCGGTGTGGGCGCTGCGCGCAGCCCGGGAGTCCCAGCCACCCGGGCCTAGCGGATTTTCCTACTGCTCCTCCGCGATACTTCGCCTACACCCGCTTTGGGGTTCCCAGCCCTTGTCGGAGTTAAGCCGCTGGAGGGAAGCGAATGCGTTAAAGGGGCCCAAAGTGGAGCCAGCATTCGCCCGCGCGGCCTCCCGGGAGCCCGCGCACGCGCGGGAGCCAGGTCGGTGCCCTGGTGGATAACAGCTTCTTCCCGGGGCAGGCGACAGACCGCGGAGGAGCGCGAGGCCGAGAGGCAGCAGGCGAACCGCATCCTCCTGCAGCTGCAGCAGGAGGCCTTCCAGAAGAGCCTGGCGCAGCCGCTGCCCGCCGACCCCCTGTGCGTGCACAACTCGTCGCTCTTCGCCCTGCAGAACCTGCAGCCGTGGTCTGACGACTCGACCAAGATCACCAGCGTCACGTCCGTGGCGTCGGCCTGCGAGTGAGCCTGCCCGCGTCGCACCGGTGGAGGGTCGCCGGGGCCAGGCTGAGAGCCAGGACTCTTCCCCCACCCCTCCTCGCCTCGGACTGCGAGCGGGAGCACAATGCCCCGCGCCCCAGCCCGCTCGAGGCGACACTGCGCTCCCTTTTGTGGAAGGGAAGACGGGAGCGATCGGGACAGGGACGCGCGACCCCCTCCCGGAAGCCGATGAGGCTCCATGCTCACTGGAACTGTTCAGAGCCCTCCCAGTTTGTCTATTTCGTTTTATTCTGGTTTTTAACATGGAACAGAGAGGCAGGGAGGTGGAGGAGGAAGAGCTTACGGGATCCCAGACCCACCATCTGAATGCGCCCTGGGAAACCCCTCCTCATCACACACAAGGACACCCAAAGGCACACAGGGAGGTGATGTCACAGTCCATCCTGGTGTCACCCCCATAGGCACACACAGGGACTAGGGCAGAGTGTCCAGTACACACTTCATCATAGCATTCACACCCTTGATCCTCACCATCAGGCACTGGCCAGGGGTGACCAAGACCGGCTTCTAATGGCGTGGCACTCCCTCTCCCCCCACCCCACCCCCCCAACACAAGGCCAGGTGGCACGGTGACACCCCAGCCAGGCCCCCAGCCCGTATCACAGCCAGCCGCACCCAGGTACGCACAGCCGGATTTTCACCAGACTCAAACCATCTCTCCAGAGCCTGTGGGGAGGGGGGAGGGAGGGGAAGAGTTAAGTTATGCACTTATAAGGTGTTTTCTGTGTAACCATTTTATAAAGTGCTTGTGTAATTTATGTGGAAAAAATAATAAAACCCTCCGGATCGGGAGTCAGGACAGCCTGCTCCTTGATGAGCCCAGCGCCTGAGAGCTACTTGGGTTTGGTGCAAACTGGGGCTTTGGGAGCAGCTGTTGGTATCTGAACCTGAGGGACACGTTGGAGGGGCAGAGCCCTCAGGCACTGGAGAGAGGAGAGCAGAGAAAGACGGAGAAAGATAGAGGAGAGGCGGGCGAGCCAGGTGCTGCTGTGATTGCTGGTGCTCGGGAGGACGAGAGGACGCCTGTCTTTGGGTGTGAGATTGTGTGTCTGTGACCCTGTGGGCAATTTGTTACTCATCGTGAATGTTTGTAATGGTGTGTAAGCGTGCTTTCATTTTTCTTGCATGTGAATGCTTGTTTCTGCTTAATGGCAAACCGAAACTATCATTGCACACGCAGGCTTATAATGGAAAGTGTGTGTGACCCCGTGTGCAGAAGTGGCTGGGTAATAGTGTGCTCACCCGTTTTGGTGGTTGAGTATGAATTGTGTTACTTGTGAGTATGAATTAGTTTTTCTTTGTGGTTATTTTTGCATTAAATGCATGGGTGTTGTGATTGTGTATCATCTATGTAATTGTGTGTGAGATGAAATTACATGTGAGCTGTGTGTTTTAACTGTACAGCGTATGCTTGCATGGGACAGTGTGTAGCCAAGTGTGTAGATCATTGTGGGAGACTGTCCCGGGAGTGAGGCTGTGTACAAGTAATTTCGAACTGGTGATATATGCAATGGTGGGAGCTTGAGAGGGAAGGGCTGCAGACCCTGAGACACACTGAATCAGGAATTAGGGCCAGGATCCTCTCTGGGACTCTCCGTGGGATTTCCAGGCTCCCAGCACCAGCCTGGTTTAGGAAGGATCTGAGAAATGACTTCTTAGGGACCTAAGGAGAGACCCCAGTGCATTCTGACCAAACAGCAGCCACAGGACACACACATCCCCTAACATCCAGTCCCTGACCTGCTACACCAATTGCAGATGAACAAACTTGGGCTGGCTTTCCTGGAAGAAGCTGGGTGGTGGAAGGTCTAGGGGCGAGTTGGAGGAGGGGATGGGAGAGTGCGGGACCCAAGCAGCCGGGAACCAGAAGCCGGTGGCAGCGCACTGTGCATGCAAGGTCCTGCAGAGCTGTGTGCGCCTTGTGCACCTCGACTGTGGGTAGGGCCAACTACGGAAACCAAGACAGCCCCTGTCTTACTGCCCTACCCCGCCACACAGGGACAAAGAGCACAGCAACCTCACACCCGAGGAAGCTCAACGGGAAATTCGTCGGGGGTGGGGGTGGGGGCAGTTGCTGATCCACCCCTTCACCTGCAGCCTCCTTGGATCTCAGTGCAGAGAGAAAAGTTCTGCAATGGAGGGCTTGGCCAGCTTCCTCGCCCAGGCCACATTCCCACCGGGTGTTTGGGCAGACTCAGAGGAGCTGGCTTTGGGTCCTGAGAAAGGGTTCGGGCGGCACGTTCACTGGCTGCGCTCAGCAAAATTTAAAAAATGGCGTCCCAGAACCACAGAACCCCTCTCCTATTGGCAGGTCTGACTGTCCCCTCTGTTCCCACTGGGACGGCGCTGCCAAACCCACACAAGGTGCGGCTTCTCTTTTCCACCTGTGTCTTTTAAATGCACCCTTGGTGCCTCTGGGCCATGGGATCCCAGAGTCACCGACCCCAGGGGGCCTGGGCCTCCAGCCCACCCTTCCAATTCCCCAAGGCCACCTCCGCAGCTGTGTCTGTGTCCTCAGGACCCTGGGTGTTCTCTGACCACGAACTCTACTGCTGGGGAGCTGGGTGGGGGTGGGAGCAGCAGCCGGGCCCAAACAGAAGAGCCCCAAACTGGCTCAGAAAGTGGACCCTTCACCACCACCCTCTCCCTCTCTTGAGAGACCCTGCCGGCAAAGTTGGGCACAGCGCTCTCCCCAAATACCCCCCCCATCTTCCCAAACAGCCCAGCACTCGCACTCATAAACACAACACGGGGGCCCACGAAAGCCACGAGCTGCCAGCCCCGCTGTTCGGGGACCTTGCCCAGCTAGTTGGGGACTCTAGCAGAACCCAGCTGGATTATCCCAGCACTGGGGCCCTGGTGCCTAGGGCTGGCGGCTGCCACCATGGAGTTCCCAGGCCACCGCTGCTTGCCTGCTCCTGGTACTCCCTTGGCCTTCGACCAAGGTCACCTGCTCTCCTGGGATCCCCCCAGCATTCCTGAGCCCTGGGCAAGGCTTCCCAGAGGTGCCAGACTCCCGAGGGTGCTAGGAATCCTTGGCAAGGAAGGACCGGGCAGAACTCCCTGCTCTCTGACCAAAATTCGTTGGGGCCGAATCTTAGCAAATCCCGTGTGCACCGAGCACCCCGGCAGTGAAGAAAGGTCGGCCAGCAGCCAGGCCTTCGGGGCGGAGGCCGGGGCAGCTGGGCTGCAGGCTCTGTCTGGAGCAGGGCAGAGGGCGGGAGGGGATGGGACTGCGAGGGTCACAGTCAAGGCCAGCTACTCGCGAGAGGAAGCTAGAGACTCCTGGCCTTCCACCACGCCTGCAGGAAATAAGCAGTCTGTGATCAAAACCAGAAAATGAACGAATGATACAAGAAGTGTGTGTAAAGGTGCTGGAAGAAGAGAAGAGGAATTCACAAACCTGTCTGGGAGAAAGGCCCCTTCCTTCCTTGGCTTGAGCGAGCCGGTTACACTGACCAAATTCCCGCAGCCAGCGAGACTCCAGTGCCGGCTTGGAACTGGCAAAGCCCAACGCAGCAGCTGAGTGGGTGGCAGCCGTAGGGCCCCAGAAACCCAGGCAGGGCTGGGGTCCCAGGGGCCCCATGCAGTGCAGTGGGTGGCACAGAGAGAATCTGGCCCAACCTGTTAACTATAATAGCGCCTTTGTGCTGCTGGATCCATGCTTGGGGGCCCGCGTGGGCACTGCCTGAGCACTGCCTGCCCTGGGGGCCCCCAATGCAGTGGCAGGTGTGAGGTGTGTCCTGGGTCCAGAGCTCGGCTGGGTGCCATTTGTGGTGTGAGTGACCTGCAGGTAAGATCCGTTCTAGGTGCAGGAGCCAACCACACAGGGGCCTCCCTCTGGTCTGTGCCTTTGGAACAGCTGGGACCCAACAGCCACCTTGCAGGACAGCTGGGGGGAGCTGTGGCCCCCGACTGCCCTGGACCCCTTGGCTCAGAAACAGGAGACCCCCCACCTCTCGCTTTAGGAGCTCCCTCATCCTCATCACCCCGAAGAGCCCCAGTCCTGCTCCCCCTCACCTTCCTCGCAGCTCCCTGATCAGCTCAGAGTTTGGAGTCCCAGAGCCAGCCCTGCCCGGGTGGGTGGGGGAATAGGGCTCTAATGGCCCCCATTCAGCCCCCCTGGTACCGCCCCCCTGCGCCCTCCCCTGGATTTCTTATCCTGGGCAATCTGATAGGAAGAGGCTTCGTGAAGGCGGGAGCCAGGTCGGGTTTTCCAAGGAGCTCGGAGCAGATTCCAAAGGCGGTGTGTGCAGTGGTTGGGGTGGGGGGAGGGCGGGGCGGTGAGTGAGAGGGGACTCGTGTTGAGGGTGGGTTCAAGCCCACATCCCCCTTCCCCCGGCCCACACTGTACCGTCCCTCCAACCACGCTACACCCAGAGGCTGCAATGTGACACAGGGGAGCTACAGGTGTGCGTGCCAGACACACACGTACACACAACCTCCCCTGCTGCCGCTTGCTTTTGCTCTCACAAGCTCACGCCTGCTGCCTGCCGCGGCCCGGCCAGCTCCTGTCGGTGGTTTCCCGTTGGGGACCCCTTCTCTCCTTCCCTCTCCTCCTCCCCTGCCGGGACGGAACGACCGAGACGGGCTTAGACTCCCCGCCGGCCTGCGGGTGGGGATTCCCGTGCGCAGCTCCGGCGGCGCCAGCGAGATCCCGGGCGTCCGGGGCTGGCCTTGGGGACGACGGGCCGCCGTCGAGGTCGGCGGAGGACCCTAACGAGGCCCAGAAGCGGCCTCCACGAAGCCAGAGGAAATCCAGCCTCCCTGGAGAGACAGAAGGTTGTGAGTGTTGTGGGGGGCGGGTGAGAAGTGCGAGGACGCCCCGCTGTGTGCATCCCCGAAGGGAGAGGCTTCGGTGAGAGCTGCCGTCGCCCCCTCCCGTTTTCCTGTGGTCCCAGAGCCCACGTTGTTTTCCGGTTGCTGCGGGAAGAGTTGCAAAACCCAGAAGCTGGCGGCCAAGGCGGCGACTCAGCGGCTGCCCCAGGGGGAGCCGGACCTGGGGCTTGGGCGCAGAAAACCCGGACGAGTGAGTTCCGGGCGCCCTCTAGGGGCCGCGCGGGGAGAGGCGCCTGCGCGCGGCCCTGGAAGCTTCGCTCGCCGGAGCCGGGCTGGGGAGTGCCGGGGCGGCTGCTGCAGGCCAGGCCGGAAAACAATGATGATAATCATACTAATAGGCAGCATTACGGGGCGCGTGCTGCGTGCCAGGCACCGCCGCAGGCTTTGAAAGTACTAATTCGCTCCTAACTGCAGCCCGAGGAGCCGGTGGGGAGTGTTCTGGCTCCCATTTCACAGATTAGGCGAAGCGAAGTTCGGAGATGTTAAGCAGCTTGCCTAAGAGCGCGCGGCAGGTAAACGGTGTGGCCCGCATTGCGACCCCGCGGCCTAACCCTAGGGTCCAGGTTTTTGGGAGAGAAAGGCCGAGTGTGGGGCTGAGGTGGATCTGGGCGGGATTGGAGGTGGGACCTCACCCACCTCCCCACTGGCCGCCTTGTGGTCAGGGGTTGGCCAGGGAGCTCTCAGTCCAGAGATGAGCTCCGCGTTTGTCCCCTACAGCTCTGGCCAGATGGCCTCCCTGCCCCCGGCTTCCAGGCCTCTGTGGTCACCCTCTCCTCTCCCACAGCTGAAGCCCGAGCTTGCCTCCCTCCAGAACTTTCCGTACTTCCACCTCTCTTCCTCCCCATTTGGGGTCGGTGGAGAGCGAGGACTCAAGCAGAAAGTTAAAAATAGAAGCAAATGAACCCCCCTTTATCAGACAAAGGAATGGAGGGAAATCCCCGTTCCACCTGCTGGGTGCAAAGCCGGTCGCTAGGG